CAGTTCTCCTACAGTCCTCTGTGGATCCTGAGCAAGGGACCAACACCCTGGGCACTGTGGGTCAAAGAAAGACAACTGCAGGTCCTTGCATTGGGGGCAGAGAGGTGCTTCCCTGATTGGGTGGACTATGGGATGGGTACGACTGGAACTTGAACTGCCGAGGACAGATTTGGAAGATGATGACAAAGCTTCCTCTTGCTCACCAGACTGATTGTCTTCATCCATCTTACTGCAAACCTGGAAAATTTAGATCATGTACAATTTCAGAGAAGATAAAGATGATGCACAGATAGCTCCCAGACTGGATGTTAGGAACATGTGCAGTGAAAGTGTTGGTCCTCTCACACTGCATTGTGGGACCACCATGGAACTCCACGTTCCATCTCTCCAAGCTTAGAGGAACCATAGTTTTAGCCATACATAAACTGAGCTGGGCCAGTGGGCCTGTTAGCTGGATCATCCTGGGTTTTATTGAAGAGGAATATGTGTTGACTAACCAAGTGTGCAATAGGCAGAGTTTACTGGATTGTCTGTTACTGCAGAAGAAAACTACATGTACATGGCCTACTCTGTAACAAGTAAAGTTGTCAAAATGATAGGCTCACTCAGCATTACCAACCACAAACACAGCCTGGACCTGGTTGTTTGGAATGGCAAAATGATTTGATTTCTTAACTTTTTAGATTTCTTCACTTTTTAGGATATGCATCACTTTCTGATGGTCGTCCGTATATGGAACAATGTCCCAATTAGATAAATGAGATGCGCTCCAACCATCCGTCCATCCATCAAATTTCTTTCAACCATCCATCAACATCCGTTCATTCATCATATGTCTGAACTCCGTCCATGACGCGCCGCGGCGAGATCAACAGCGCCACCAACAGATGAAAATGTGCAAATTTCTATCGCAAATTATTTTTAGCGCCACCAATCATTGAATCTATGCCAATGTTATTTACTAGATCGACCGGAGAGCTGAAATGAGTTGACTTCGCATATACATCGGTGAAGTAGTCGAGACTTGCATCCTCCTCGATCGCTTCAATCTCATGGATGTTGCTCCTACAGCTAGTTGCATTGAGTCACTGAGACTTAACAGGACTTCGGAGTGGTACAATCTCTGAGAAGTGAGTGATATTTGTTTATCTCTTGGTGCCTCCTTGGACTCTTGCTAGGGCACTGTGTCACCGTGCTGAACGAGTGCTGGTGTTACGCTGGTCTGATTACTGACGCGATTGAACAATTTCAAATACTGTTTAAACAGACAACAATCTTTCGGTCTAATATCCACAGAACCTTTCTAAATAATTGGTATCCGGTCAGATTTTATTGGATTCGTAGGAAGTCTGGAGGGAATCTTTTGTAAACTCGGTAGGCCTAGAACTTGTATTTTCAGACAAAATTCATGTATTGTTTCTATCAATAGTCAAGCGACACTGCTGTGTATCTGAACCATTTAATTATTTGTGTGTTTCTTTACTATGACAATAACATTGCTTAAATGACAGAATTTCATTGCTCCATAATGGAACGAGATTGGGGGGCGAGACAAAGAAATTGGGGGTGGGGCTTGGACAGGCAAAATGTGTCCGACGTTATTTTTAAACATATGGCAATGTCTAAGTTTCCTGAATTCTTACTGATTCTAAGTGCTATATTTCAAAACATTTTTACTCAACTGTCTCAAATTCTGTTGGGGTTGAAGAGGATTTTTTAAGATTTGGGAAAACAGAGCAAAGGAATCATTTAAAGAGTCAGATCCCATCATACTTCAAGAAGTCACTAACTCTGTGATACTCCGTGTGATGTAGAGGAGACAAGATTTACATGGCGTTGTAACACTTCGAGGTTTAGAATCTAATTTTGTGGTGACATGATTCACAGCCGTAAGAAAGCTCTTAAATCCAATTTTCCCCTGTCAGCATACTTGCTAAATCTATACCTCCTAAAACATGGTGAACAAAAGTTTCAGAGTATGAGACACAGTATTTTTGAAGAAAATGAGATTTTTGCACACCAATTTCTCGCTTCCACACGTTGACTGTGGCTTCGTTCATGCCGTTCATGTTTATCAGACTGCGCATGTGTTGAGCCCACCAATGACCCATTTGCTCCACATCTTGGCTCGACCATTTTCAGTGGCGGGGGATGACATCTTGTATTGTTTTCATCGTGGGACCATCCCAGCTGCTGCTTTGACCTGGAAACACACATCGCGAGAGACGTACTGCATGTGCTGCGCCATGCGTGATGTTATCCCCCGCCACCAAAAAACCTGTAGGGTTATAACGCCATGTAAACCTTGTCTCCTCTTAATCACACGGAATATCAGGGAGTTAGTGACTTAGAGTTCTCGATGTAATCCCAACATAGCAGTTTGGGTTGAAGCTAAAAATTTGATTTGATCTGTGTGTACTTTTTTGTCTTTTTCAGAGCAATGAGCAACGAATACAGCGACTAATATTAGTGACAGACTCCAAGAACTTCCATGGAAGGCCAACCCTCTTCCAACTCTAGCAGTCAACAAGCTACAGATTCCAGGACAATGCTGTCCCAAGTCACGCCCCTGGGGTCACACCCCTCACCTTTCCCTGCCTCAAGCACTGCTCCTTTTTTCTCCTCGAGGCGAGACCATGAACCGGCATTCGCTGTGGCCACGGCCAACTTTGACAAGCCCAACCTGAGGTCATCGCAGCTCTTGCAAGGGTTGTCGCGATTGGAAGGGGCGCATGGTCACGTACCTGGAATGGGAGCGTTCCATCCCGTCCACCCCCAGTCAGGCCAGCGTAGCTCTGAAATGAACGGCGGCAATCACATGACATCGATGGCTAATGGCAGCCATTCATTTACAGACCAACACAGAAGCATCGAGGATACATCGGAAGATAAGCGTTTACCAAGACGTAAGTTTCTATTCAGCACCTTCATTTCAGTTTTTTGGTTTTCCAAAAATGATGAGATGGATTACTGGTCTCTGTCATTTTTTTATTCTATAATGTGAATTTCCCAAGGAAGTGACATTCATGTAAAAGTGGGCCCTGCTTAAGAACAGTTCTCCAGAAAATGTCTGAAACAAACTGAGTAATTTGTTGGCTTTGTGTTACATGTACGGTACATCCATAAGACAATGTAAAATAACGTGTAATTCATTTATTGTTGGTAGTTAAATTCAAGCAAATACCCCTCTCCTAAGCCAAATTGTGACAAAGACAAAAACTTTGGAAAGGAAACCTTTTGGCAGACATGCAAGGTGGGAAATCTGCAGAATCAATTGGAATCAACCAGAACACACACACATTGTGGTTTGCATGCAGAGGAAGATAGACATTTGTTGGCGGTTTTTCAGTGTGCATGCAAATAAATGATGTAGGCCTGTTTCTTTGTTTTGGTTTGGAGGCTTTTCTCTTTGGCTGATGAAAATTCTTCCATCTGCTCATATTCAGTTATTCCTTCCCCAATGGAATTATTTCCTTGGAGTAATTCATTAACTGAATTAATCACTTTCTCTCAGAGTTGACTGAAGGTATGACATTTCCTTTCAACACATCCATAACGAGGAAGACACTCTGCCAAATTACGGCCTCGGGGCCTCATTCAAATCAAACCAAGCAAGAAAGTTCATTCAACAAAACCAATTCAAAAGTATTCACATTAAGTGATATATTTATTCATTACTTTACTACATGCTGGTTGATATGTTAGGTCATCTTAACTCTTCAGAAGTATCAGTTTTGAGATATAGGACATCGTTGTCATACTTTTCAGCAGGAAACAGCAACAAATAATATTTGAAACAATAAAATTGCTCTGACTTTAGGCCAGTTTGCATATACATAATGTTGAATTTGATTAATTAACACAAACTTGGAAAATTAAAAAAAAAAGGAAAATATGTGTCTCGCGACAAATCTCCACATGCCATCGGGTAATTGCAACTGGTCATCGACCCTCAAATAGAGGGAAAACTTCGTGAATAAATGACAGATTTTATTTCACAAATTCATCCCTGAGGCCATATTGCTTTAGTCGGGGAGAAATGGAGTTATTCAAATGGTTAGCCCTTGGCAGTCTTATCTCATTTTCTGCCAGCACAAGCATGCCACGGCTTATTTTTTTCAGCTCCATGTTTTGTTCTAAACGTAATTTTTGCTTTCGTCCACTTTTTTTTTCCTTCCACATTTTGAGACATTTTGAGCATCATTCCCGTGTCTTCGTCTGGCTTGGAGGTAGGAACAATAAGCCAGCTGCTCACATATTCAAACTTATCTAGCAATCACATTAAATGTACATTAAAGCATCCATTTTCCTTTTCTACAGGCCTTGAAAAGTAGACACTTGTGAAATCAGAGAGTAGATCAAATAAAAGCACTGCAAAAATACAACGAGAAAAAGAAATGTTTTCTTGCATAAGAAAGAAAAACTTGGCTTGACCTTCAACGTTCTGCTGGACAGGCAGAGCCTAATGAAATGGTTGTCAAAAAGAAAGTCCAATAAAATTCCGTTGAATGTGCTCAAAACCCAGTAACACAAAACAGTCTCTAAATATGTCCAGCATTTAGTATAATTCACTCTAGAGATAGGTGAGGACAAATCTTCATGCTATGGAACTGGCTAAAGAAATGCAGGTTTGTCTCATTTCAAGGAGCTACATGTAACTTGCGTATCTTGAAAATAATTCCAATACAATTTATGTATCATAACACACTCCTGTTCAAAGGATCCACCCATGTGCAACTTGAGAAAGTGTACATGAATCATTCGGTAAAAGTGATCAAATTTCAATACTTTTCCTCATTTTTAATTGAACCATATGCCGTTACGATCAGTTCAGTAATGAGTTTTCCCAGTAACAGTCAGATTCTATCCAGTCTTTTTTCCCCCATGCAAGAGAAGAGTCATTTTCCAAAAACCCTTTTTTTTGGACAACTAGCCAATTACTGAGCCCTGAACCTGAGGGGGACTAGCTTTCTCTGAAGAACCCATCTGGGAATTCCACAATTACCGCCGCTAACTTTGGGCTAGTAATTCCCTTTGGAAGGACATACATCCCTGCTTCTTCTTCGTCTTCCTTTTTTTTAAAACCAGCTCTTCATCCCTGGAGGCATCTGGTCAGACGATACGGTGTAATTTGCACGTTAATCGGCTTGGAGTGTGTAATTTTAAAGTGTGGATTTTGTTCTGTTGTACGTGTAGCTGACATATTAAGTTTTATTAACAGAAGTGAGATGGTGTCAGACTTTGTGCGCATGTTGAAGCTCAACTTCTGCTCAAATATTATTTCAGGGTGCACATATTTACTGCATGCTGTTACCTGTAGTCTTTCAGAAATAAAGAGTAACGATTCAGAGAACTATAAAAAATGTTTTTCAAAGTTCAGTGATAACGAGTAGCAGAGCATTACTTAAGCTGTCAGTCAATCAATAAGGCCATAGAATGATTCCAAGAAAATTTCATTGACCTTTGCATCTTGACGTCAAATAAATTGCTGGCAATTTATGTCCTTCTATTTGTTTTTTTGGGGGGGGGCGAAGAAACAATGAACACAATTTACTCTAAATCCCTTTTGTGTTTTTGTTTTTGATGAAATTTTTTTGTGTCGCTTTATTACTTTTTGTCTGTGCTGTTGCAAATTACAATATTTCTTTCAGAATCCTGTATAGTTTTGGAATTTACTCTTTTTCATTACCTGTTACATGCCTGGAACATGCACATGTTTCTTCATGTCAGAATGAAAACTGGCCAGCAGTTTGAGCATTTATTATTTAGTTTGTACCAGCAACTCAATAAATTTTTGAAACTTTACGAGCAAAATACTTGCCAGTTTTCATGAAAATGTCCTTTCCCACAAGGACAGGTGGCTGTTACAAATTTACCAGTCAGAATGGCTCAATTAACAAGCCTGTTCGCCCTGCCCTCCCATGGGGGCAGTTACAAATCGAGCGGTGTGGTTGATGTTGCTGTTTTCCTGGGGTTGAGTGTTGAAATGAAGTGTTTCACCCCTAGGGGGTGGGGAAGGTTCCCCATAAACAGTTTCCCCCCCTGTCATTTACCACACTCGCCGTGACAGGGTCTTTGTAATGAGTGCCATTATTCAAACCATATTTTAACAGCATATTGGCGATAGGCTTTTAACAAGTTCTGGGGGAAAGCCACGGTAGCCAGAATAGATTTGTGGTGGTTGTTTACCATTGTCTGAGGGAAACGTCAGAGCCAAAAATTTCATGCAATTTTCCTTTTTCCCTTCACACACCATGATTTATTGGTGTACAGAACTTTTCAAAGAAGGGGGCATTCTCTGTGCTTGTGTAAACACAAATAGATTATCAATCCCCATTCCTGTTAACATATTTATAAAAGTATTGAAATTAGTTTCTGAGCTTACTCAATGTGAACAACTTTGTTGACAAATTGAAATTAATTGAATTTATTAAAACTTGTAAATCATTCACCAGCGATGTCTTCTTTTTGACTAGATAAATAGAAACACTGCTCATTTGTTAGGAAGAAGTTCTTAGATATGTGTTGATAATTACTTTTTATTTCATAGGAAAGCGTAAAGCCAGCAACCATGAGTTTTCAGTCTGCACTATCTGTGGGGTGACGGTGCGACCAGTAGAACTACCTGCCCACTATGAGATTGAAATAGACAGACTTAACAAGATAACGAGGTCAGTCAGTAACTGAAATCAGAAATTGAAGTAATTCTTGTGAAGAATTCAGTTTATTGCTAACTGCAATTGTATGAAGATCTACAAGGTTTTTACTTAGACACGAGTTTTAGCGATGATATTTTTTTATTTGGGAATCTACTTTAGAGCTTTTCTTTCCCTGTTTCTCGCTAGACCAGGGAAAAGCAGTCGAGAATCTTCCAGCCACTCCAAAAAGGTAAACAATCTTGTCAGGTCTTCTTAACCACTTGCTGCCGGGTGGTTTGAAAAATGCAGTGCACATAATCAGGACTTTTTCAAGATTTTCAGTTGTCAAAATTCTTCAAAAATTCATCATTTCAATTAATGGATGTTTACACCCACATGAATTACTGTCTGGTGGCCACTCTAGTCTGACAGACAAACATCTATTGACGCCCGAGTATTTCAGTCAGGCCTGCAGCCTTGTAAAAAGAGCCCAGATTGTGCGGTGTTATGTAACTTTCTTTTGTTCACAAACCTGGCACAGTGCGCTGCTGACCGTTTTTCAATAGGGGCCAGATTAGAAAGAGCGGTACTTTGTTGCTCATCGCTGCGGGGGTATTTGTCCCCGGGAGTAATCCGCTCGTGCTAAATCCCCCAAACCATGGTATACTGTTTCAAAACAAGGCTGGATTATCTCGACTATTGAGAGTGAAAAAATGACGGTAATGCCCAGCAGCCTGGTCTTTTGTTCAGAGTACGGTCTGAAGGCCAAATTCCCTTTGTCCGATTTCGGAGACCCCGGTCATACGTATAAACACACGGTGCCCGAAACCGGGCTCCCCGAAACCGGGCTCCCCGGCAGGAAGTGGTCAATCTGTTTCTCTCTTATCCATCAGTTTGAGAGCTTCTTGAGAAATTAGAGCTTCTTGGAAATATCAAACAATTTTCCATAAGACAGCACAACTCATATAATTCTTTTTGAAATATGTGAATGTCCACAAATCAATTTGATGCAAGCTCTCGTTACATCTAGGCCCTGCCGTCGACATCCAGCGCCAAGAGAAAAAGAGAGAACGAAGAGGAAGGTCTTGTAAACAAGGACAGCCGACGAGAGGTAAGGGAGGCTGCACCCTA